ACGTGAAGATCGTCATTTAAAATTTCGGACTGATCTACATTTTTGATGAGTATAAATGGTTTGCACCATATAATTTTTATCAAAATATTAGTTAATTATTTAATTATTAATTAATTAATTAATTATTTATTTATTTAATATTAAATTATTTATTATTTAATTATATAATTTTACAGGAGTTCAATTTTTTAAAGAGATGGAAAATGTTATAATTTAAATATTTTATAATATAGTTATTTTATTAATATTTAATTATTTTTATTATATTTAACATTTTTTATAATTAAATTTATTTAATTTAATTATTTATTATTTAATTATTTAATTTATTATATTCTTATTGGACAACTTTGAAATCACATGACTTTTATATTTAACATGTGATTTCAACATGTGATTTCTATATATAACTTGTACATGTAATCTTATATGTAATTTATTATTTATTATTTATTATAATTTTATAATTTCTATAATTTCTAAAAAACTCTAAAAACATCATAAACTCTATATTCTTTATTATTTTTATATATAAATTAATTAGATGAATTTTATATTTTATCATTTTTATAGTTTTTATATAAATTACTATAAATATAATATTTATTAGTAGAAAATATTAGATATAAATACAGTTGATCTTGTAGTTATAAAAAAACAAGTTATAGCAATTAGCCCAACTAATGACTTAAATAAAATACCTTTAAATAAAATATCTATTACTTGATTATCTTTATTAAATTTTATAAACAAACAAATTAATTACATTATTATATTTGCATTTATTGTGCTGTTACTAAGGTTGCTTGCCGAAATCTCTTAGTGACTGTCTAAATTCTGTCAAAATTATAATAAACTATTAGTAAATAACCCGTCGAAATTCTGACGAATTTTGAAACCCGTCGTAACCGAAATTATGTCAAAATTCTAATTAACAATTAGTGTGTAACCCGTCGAAATTATGACGATATTTTTCTGAAAGGATTTAGGCAAGCATCCTTAGCTGTTACGATTTAGAATTCTTAATAATTCTTAATAATTTTATAAATCTTATAATTTTTTAAATTATACATATAGAAAAATATGAACCAAATTGCAGAAATTGCAGTAATTATAGAAATTACAAAAATTATCCATATTATAGAATTATTCAACATTATTATTATTTATTCCAATATAATATTAATTAGTAGTGGAAAATAAATAAAGCACAATTGAAGCTTTAAAAAAACATTAATTGATCAATACAAAATCTAGCTAGTCAATAAACTATTTCTTGTTTATTGTTAATATTAATTGATTGAACAATAACTTATTAAAATACTTGTATTTATTGTGTATTATTGGATAACTACCAAAGTTGTTATAGAATATCAGTACTGTATTGCTATAAAACTGTCCTACACTAAGTAGACATAACATCTATTAGTAATAGTAAGAGTCTATTCAACAGATAGAAAAAAATATACTGTGTAATGATTCTAAAGCACACTAATTATGTTAAGATTGAGTAATTATAAAATTATTATCATCAGATGTTAATTGAACATTCATGTCATGATAATACTTATCAGGAGTCTAATTATAACAGCGTACTATTGAACAACTGTCAAGTTGCTATAGAATATCAATACTATATTATTATAGAACTGTTCCACATTAAGTAAATATAATATCTATTAATAATAGTAAGAATCTATCTGGATGATAAAAGAAAATGCATTGTGTAATAATCTCAGAATACATCGACTATGACGAGATCAAGTAAATATAAAATTTATATCATTAGATGTTGATTGAATAATTACATTATAATAAAGAGTTCAATTATAATAACATGCTCTTCTTATTGTTATAATTCAAATATTTTATAATATAGTTATTTTATTAATATTTAATTACTTTTTTATATTTAACATTTTTAATAATTAAATTTATTTAATTTAATTATTTATTATTTAATTATTTAATTTATTATATTCTTATTGAATGAATTTAAAATTATATGACTTTTATATTTAACATATAATTTAAATATATGATTTCTATATATAACTTATATATGTGATCTTATATATAATTTATTATTATTATTATAATTTAAGTGATTTTATAATTTTATACTTTCATAATTACACTATTAATTTTATAGTTTCTTTAATGATTTAAAAATATAAATCAAATTACAAAAATTATAATAATTATAGAAATTATAAAAATTATAGAAATTATTTATATTATAGAATTATTTATATAAATATAGTAATAATTAATAGAAAATATTTATTATAAATATAACTAGTCTTATAATTATAAAAAAGCAAGTTATAATTAATTAAATTCAATATACAATAAATAAAATATCTATTACTTAATTACCTTTATTATTAATATACAAAAATTAACTAATAATATATTATTATAATAATAATATTCATTATACACTACTGAATATTTAATCAGATTGCTATAGAATATTAATACTATATTATTTTAGAACTGTTTTTACACTAAGTAAATAACAGTAATCTATTAATAATAGTAATCATCTATCTTAATAATAAAAGAAAATGTATTTATTATATACAGATCTTGAGATTATATGACTTATTGTAAATTGATTTTATGGAAAATACAATTAATAGTTATGATTAAAAATAAGTTATGATTAATAATAAACATCAAGAAAAGCTCTAAAAATCAAATTATGATATTGTGACAAGACTTAAAATCATATAAAATGATAACAAAGTTTGATGCTCCCTTTGTGAAAAAAAAATTCAAAGATATTAAATATAATAAATTAATTAGTAAATGAATTCTCTGAATGAATCATAATAATAATAATATAATAGTTTAATTTGAACTTCAAATCTTTCTTGAACTCATATCAAAGTTCAGTTCAAGTTCTATTCAAATTTTGAATCAAACTTGAATCTGAATAAAAGTTTAGTTTAGTTTAGTTCAGTTTATAGAAATACTATTATATAATCTAGTGAACCAATCATTAATAACTCAAATTTTGTTCAATGATAATATTCTAATTATTATCCAATAATCTTAGCTAAATTATTATTCAATTAACTTATAATATGAATTTATTAATAAAATACAACTAAATATTTATATCATAACAATATAGATAAATTATAATCAATAAAAATAAACTAATTATTTGTCCAACAAAAATACAATGAATAAAATATATTATAATATTATATATAATTTATAATTAATATTAATATTAATTAAATTAGTTAATATTAATTGATTAATATGTGTTTTTTATATTAATAATAATAATATGAAAATAATATAAATTAAAATGAGATAATATGAAATATAAATAAATAGTATGAAATATAAATAAATAATATGAAATATAAATGGACAGTATGAAATAAATTAAGAATAATATGAAATAAAAAAGAATATAATCTACAAATTATGTGTAAATTAACTATTTAATTAAAATAAAGTGTAATAAATCATGTGATATGTAAAATTTATCATAAAAAATTTGTATCACATGAGATCTCCCTAGCAATTAAATCACGAGATCAGCCAATCGGATTCAAATTTATTATTTTGACGTGAAACATTTACTCGTAAGCCATAAATTACACGCATAAAATGTGATCGTTCTTTTTGAAGCGCGAATGTAATGAATTTATTTTTTGTGGTCTAATTGCAAGTTAAAAAAATATAAAGTAATGCATGATCATGCATATTTTCTAGTCTAACTGCTGTAGCTTGTTAGTTTTTTTAGGACCGGGAAAACTTCTAATAGAGGTTACCGCCAATTCGAACCATTTTTAAACGTTAATGTATGCCAATTTTGAGATGACACATAAAATTTCTCAAAATCTAGCAGGCGAAAAACTATTTGCAAGTACGATGATCCCTGAGATACGAGCAAACTCAAAACGCGATTTACATATTTTTAGTTACAATATTAAGATTTTTTAATTGCTCGCATTAATTAAACATTATTAAAAAAATTAAACCCACCTCCTTTTTGAGTCTTTCAATAATTAACTTTCATGTTACAAACTCCTTTTATTGATTAATATCAAAAATCTATAAAAAGGAATGAATCTGAGTAAGAAACTCCAGATAATTCATTCATAAAAGTAATCATGGCTCGAAATTTTATTTTTGTATTCATTTTATTGGCTACGCTTACCATTATGAATGCCATTCCGTTTCATAAAAGAGCGACTTTCTTTGGTCCATGTCCTAACGTAGAAGATACATTCTCTGTAAAAATGGACCCTGATCCACTTTTTTCTCCACATCTCGTAACTCTTACTATTACCGGAAAAGAGGTGTCTGGTCTAATTATCGGCCCACTTGCCTCACTTGTTGTTACAATAGGTGCTACAATTCCAGTACAACCTCCCAGTGTATTTCCTGTTTGTAATGCAACTGATTGTCCAATTTTTTCTGGAACCGAGTATACTACAACAAGCACATTTCTACTAAACGCCACTTTACCTCCATCATATGAAATTGTATTGACTATTGGAAATTTAAATAGTAGTTCACCACAAATGTTATTTTTACATGATCAAATCCTCGCTTGTGCAATGACTACTATTACGAGTTCTTAAATTTAATTTAGTTTATTTTATAAATTATTTTTGAAAAGTTAATATTTTTTCCGAGACCGCCCATCAATGTAATAGGCTTTGGTGGTAAAGGAGGAGGAGTCAAATTTATTTGTAATATAATTATTATCACAAAAGTGAATATATGGTTCTTTACGTCTAAATTTACCAAATTGATCCATTTGCAAATCATATTGATGGAATCCCATATATTCTTATTTCCGGTACAAGCTGTAGCCCAATGTTGATATCGATATTTCACAGTTATAAACTTGCCCTTCAATCTATCATATACACGTCTTTCACTTATTGTTAAGTGTTCTATTCCGAGATATACAAGTTTATTGCATGAATAACAGATAGCTATTCCACATTTTGGGGCGTATTTTTGCCCATCAACAATAAATGGCAAAGCTTTGTGAGCGCAAAAGTAATCTTTCCCATCATATGTATAGTATTTTTTATTTCGAAAATACATTAGGCGATCCCAAATCCTATTTTTCCACTTTAATGATCTGCATTCCAATATATTCGACATACTCCTCATAAGTACCCTCAAAACCACTTAGTAAAGATTTAGACACACTCGTCATATTAATTAATATACTTGAATATAGCTATTTAACAATTTATAACAGTTTACACAGCGATTTTATTGATTTATAGCTGATTTAGCAAGACTATACTCTATTAAATCCGAATTCATTTTTGTTTGATTACAAGCAGACTGGGAAATTTATATAGGGCTATGCAAAGTATGCTAATTCATATTCAGATCATGCGAGAAAAAAATGTATCGCCCAAGATCGCAACACTTCCTGGACTCAGAAAAAAAATTAAATGTTTTTGTAATACATGTTGAACAATCGTGATTCCTGTCCTATCTCTCAATCTTACCTTTTGGCTGATTAAGATGGTTTATGGATGGTAGTAAGTTATTTTGTTTTGCATACAGAGACGAGATAAATATTTCGCTTGTATTGCTTTTGCAATTTAAGGATCGATAAGAAGTTGGTGAAAACATTTCTTGCTTGGCAGGTGAAACACAAAATAGCTCGAAATTTGGAGCACTAGGTATAGTATTTTTTGCTATGGTCGCTTTAGCCTGCGCATAAGTTTCATAGCCAATTGTACGATTATCATAATCATATGATACTGATGCCAATTTATCCTTTGAGTGTGGAGTAGATTGGGATGAAAGCTCCTGTTGAAGATGCTTCATTTCAGCCTCTTCTCGTAATATGTATTGTTTATGTTAAATTCCCTTCTATCAATAGATTGGAGAATTTCTTTTCTTCTTGCACGTTCATTTGAGATAGTATCTCTAGTAATACATCTCATCTCGAAAGAGAGAATAACCTATATGCTTTTCAGGGATGAATACTAGGGAGTCACATACACTACAATATATATAATTTGTTGGATTTCCACCAGGATGGAACCCTTTACCATCTTCATAAAACTTTCCACGCATTCTAATACAGTGGCTAATATAATTATGGAATCACCTGAATAAAAATTTTAAAATAGCAATATCTCATAAACTAGAAATAATATAAATATAAAAATTATATCATTAAATTTATAAATACTTATATTATTTAAAATTTAAATAATATTTTAAATTAATTTGTATATTTTAAAATAATTATTTTTTAAAGTTGATTTACATGATTCTATATTTATGTAATTTTATTGTAATAATAAAGTGATCAATAACAAATTAAAGAAAATATATTTAAATATATTTTAAGATTTACATATACTATAAATCAATACTTTGTATATCCTCCCTTGGCATGAATTACAGCTTTTATCCTCTTTGGCATACTTTCTATTAGATGCCTACACTTGTCAACATCAATCCCCTCCCATACGCACTCTATACACTCCCATAACACTTCCTTACTAGAAATATTTACCTCCAGAGATCTCAATCACCTATCCACTTCATCCTACAGATGTTCAATGGGGTTAAGGTCGGGAGACTGGGCAGACCAGTCAAGAAGATTGATTTCATTTTCAGGGAACCAGGCTTTAACGGCTATTGCGGTGTGTTTTGGGTCATTATCGTGTTGGAACACGATATCAGACTCATTGAGATTATGGTAGTTGATTGTTTGTAGAAGGTCTTCGGATAATATTTGTTTATAAAGATTAGCGTCCATGCGACTATCGATCCGACAGAGGTTCCCAACACCTTCCCAAGTGAAACACCCCCACACTATTATGTTGCCATCACCGAATTTCACAGTTGGTTTTACGAATGCGTCTTTAAACGCTTCTCCGTCACACTGCCAACAATAAGCTTTCCTGTTTGACCCAAACAAATTAAACTTATTTTCATCTGACCAGATTACCCTTTTCCAGTCGTCAACGGTCCAATTTTTGTACTTTCTTGCGAAGGATAAATGAGCATTACAGTGTCATTTTATAAGTAGTGATTTTTTTCTTTTGATACGTGCTTTGAGTCCATGTCTAGAAAGTGTCTGACGTATTGTATTAGCGTTTACATTGATATTGTCCTCTGATTTTAGCTTTTTTTTCATATTCACAGCCATTGAACAGCTTCCATTAGTCACGTAGTGAAGAATACGGTTCTCTTGGTTCTCGGTAAGCAATCGTGGACATCCTGATCTTGGTTCTGGTAGAAAAGTAGCTTCGGCCGCATACCTCTTGCAAATTTTAACTACCATTGACTGAGACACTTTCGCTTTGTTGGCCACAACCCGAGTTGGATACCCTTCTTGGACTAATGCATAAATATTAGCCCGTTGTTCCACAGGTATCGCTTTCATTAGGATGGAAAAAACAAAACAAAACAAACGTAATACAGAGTTTAACTTTTGGTATTACAAGTGTCACACTTTTATTGGAGAAAGATCGAGTGACATAATGCCGATCGATCTTCGATGTGAGGTTACAAAATAATGGAATCGCACATTTTTCGAATTTTTTTAAAAAAATCTTTTTTTATTTAATAAATTATTTAATTGTAATTAGTCATTATAATAATATAATTGACTGTAAATTTAATGATATAATTTTTATATTTATATTATTTCTAGTTTATAAGATATTGCTATTTTAAAATTTTTATTCAGGTGATTCCATAATTATGTTAGCCACTATATCTATCCACTTTAATGATATGTCTTCAGGTATATGCTCGGAGTGTATAAGTTCAGCGCGATATGTTTCGTATACATATTTGATAACATATATCCGATAACATGACTCGACAGCATAATCAAATAGCATGTGTATAACATACCCGACACCATATACTCTGGCTATATACCTCTACAAATGATGATATAATCGCAATGTCATATTCCTGTCGTCAAAAATATGTCATAAAAAATATATCACGACACTGATGACGATGTCATATTTTTGTCGTCAAAAATGTGTCATAAAATATATATCACAACACTGACGACAGTGTCGCATTTCTATCGTCACAACACTGATGACAGTGTCACATTTCTGTCATCATGACACATACCTGAGACTATTATAGTCTAATCTAAGTCATTTTTAGTTTATATAAACTAAAAACAACTAAAACAAAAATTTAAATTTCTACTATATTTTATTAATAAAATTATATATACAATTCCATAATTTTGAGATTCATTATATTTTTTTATATTTTAATAATAAAAAATTAATTTAAAATAAGTGAACTTTAAAAAGTTTTTATTGTCTTATGTTTATGCTCTAATAGATTATACAAAGTATATAATACAAGAAATGACAAAACTAAATTATTTCAAGTCTAACTAATCAAATCTAAAACAATTTTTAAAACTTCAAGGAGTCTATTTTTTTCACTTACGAAAATATATCTTTAAATGTTACACTATTCTATTGATTTCAACTAAATTACTTCATCCTTTTTTATAGAATAAATATATGAATAATTATATTGTCCAATAAAAATGTAGAATAATAAATAGTCCAATGATATGAATAGAATTTAACTATACTTGCTCACTTACTTGTTTTATAATAACCAATAGTATTATAGTATTTATTTTCTAATAATATGTAATACTTGACGATAATGGAATCAAATTATCGTTATTATTTTTACTGGGACTGCAAATCTTCCAAATTTTACTCCATTGTATCTTATTTTGGAAATCGATTGATTTAAAAAATTTACACGTTCTCTTCTAACAAAAAACCTAAACTTCAAAGTTTAGGTATTGCTTTGTATTCATGCATCTTACAAAAAATTTTAAGCTTTGAGTTTAAACTTCTCTACCGTTTCATAAAATCAAAATTATAAATAGTCTCGTCTCAATGGCACAAATTCAAAAATTCACAGGACCTCTGATCAATAGTGACCTGGAATCGTTAAAAAGGTCGTTGGGACAACCTGAACTACACGTAACCATTAGTGTATTTCAGACAGTGAGAAGTTAGTATATAACGCAAAAAAAGTATCATCAATTTTCGATTTATAATCCTAAATTTTTGTATGTAATCTAATTTACCCGTATACCAGCGTGCATCAACATAATAAACGAGTTTTTGGAACCAGACTCTAATTGTTTTCTGGAATTCAAAGATGACAGAATGAGATTGAAGTATAAAACAACCGACAAAAAGTTCATCATTCAAGGGTATAAAAGCAAAGAATGCACGCACACAATATTTCGCTTGGTTTAATATTTTTGATGAATTTTATTTTCCAGAGCTTTCGAATTTTTAGATCTTTCACATTTCAATCCTACTATAAGGAGTGATAACAACAATGTAATTCAGGTTGAAATCCTGACGACAGAGTTAATTGATATGGTCAAAAAAATACACAATGCAACCTATGAAACCCAAACCATTATATTGGAAATTGCCTGGCGAAACTTGGGACCCGTATTTCACGTTCAAATTTCGATAGATGTAAGTTTGAATATTATCTACTACTAATATTATTATCATCACTCATACAACTTTTCTAATGTTTAGGAAGTACGCACCACTTACGAATTTCCTATTACATTGGCAACAGATCCAATTAAATTTATTGAACTAAAATATAACCCAGTCGTAAGAATTTATCAATTACCACCTTTCAATTCTTCCAAAATTGTTTTAAGGTTTATTTTGATAATTTAGGTTGTCGTAAAGTTACCAGATCAAGAAGAATTTCGTAAAAAAGCATCAGTTTTTCCCCGTCTCTTTGCAACTGTTGACATCAAGGCCAACCGACAGGGAAAATTACAAATTACTGGTTTTTCACACTATTCTAGCATTCGATGCAACTGGGACAAACTGCAATATACGAATCTCCCGATACTTGCTGACGTAAATGCACCAACTGCTCCTGATGAAATAAGAGGCGTGAGGGTATTGGCAGCGACTTTAGATAAGGTTGTGAGTGTTGGATCAGAACTCGATATTCACACGGTTGCTGGTAAATTTGTTCTTTTTTCATTGATATTATAGATTATTCATTATTTATTGCTGACTTTTCTTTATTAAAGGGATTTGGGAGAATTCAGCATTGCAACTTCAAATTTATCTCGATAAGGAATTTAGAGAGAAAGTAGCAGAAATCTATATCAGTCAGTTTAATGATGATTAAATACTACTATTTTGTATGTAATTCAAAAAAAAATATTTACAGTGTGCGAATTCACATACTTGTAGTTTAAAAATTCAGTATATATTAAGAACAGTCATGATACAAAATTGGATATTATTTCTGGACTATACTGTAGTTTTCATTATCCAAATGCAATTAATTATATTTACTTTCTAATGACAATAAACATATATTTACAAAAATATGGCATTATTGTGTTTATCCGAAGATTATTCAGAATCATCATCTTCTGACATATCCTTTGATTTTTGTTTTTTCCGCGAAACCTTTCTTGTTTTATTATTTCTTCCTGTTATAGATGTTGGAGGATACTCCGCATTCCCTGTCATTGCTGTTTGACATATTTTATCAGATAATTCACGCGGTAATAAATTCTCTGCTAGCGAATTTAATGAAGCAGTATTTGATATAACGCGTTGTCTAATGGAAAAAAATCAAAAATTTCATGAGTCATAATAAAGAAAGAGATAAATATAATGAATACCTTTTCATTAGAGTAACAACATCGCTTTCAATTATTGTGTCTCGTCCGTGAATCTCTGAAATGTTAGAAAGACTCATGGCGGCTTGTTCAAAGAATCTATGGGTTCTTTGGATGAGTGAAAAATAATATATTAAAATATGCAATTCAGAAATAGCTTTTCTGTAGATAAATCGTCGATTGGCTTGATAATTAATATTATATATACCCTTCAAATACACCCTCCATTGCATCTTTAGAGACTTTGGTTTTCACAAACATGGTGAATATTTGCTTAACCAAAGCCTTTGGAAGATTGGGCACTGGAATACCAACAGCGGAAAGTCTAGGGAATTTGCGGAAAGATGAGTAAAAAAAGCAACACTGTAGTGCTTTGCGTATATAATCACCTTATATTCTTTCTCGATGATTTCGATTTTCGCGAAGATTTATTCCTATAGATAGTATAAGTATTTTTTTTCATAATTTCTAACTCGTAAAAAAATTACCTTACCTATTATTAACCTCCAAATTGAAAGGATCATTGTCTTCATTGATTTGTTCGCCATTCTGTGCATCAGAATTATCATGTTTTGATATAGTTTCATCATTTTCACTATCGTTGGATGACTCTTCGCACGCTTTGTCAAATAATTCGTTATTAACCTCCCAATTGAGAAGATCATCATTATCTTCATTGAATTGCTCGCTATTCTGTGCATCAGAATTATCATGTTTTAGTATAGTTTCATCATTTTCACTGTCGCTGGATGATTCCTCGCACGCTTTATTAAATAATTCGTTATCAACATCTAAATCAAGAGGATCATCATTGTCTTCGTTGATTTGCTCGCTGTTCTGTGCATCAGAATTATCATGTTTTGATGTAGTTTCATCATTTTCACTATCGCTGGATGATTCTTCGCGCGCTTTATTGACCTTCAAATTGAGAAGATCATCATTGTCTTCATTGATTTGTTCGCTATTCTGTGCATCAGAATTATCATGCTTTGATATAGTTTCATCATTTTCACTGTCGTTGGATGATTCCTCACGCGCTTTATTGAACAATTCGTTATTAACCTCCAAATTGAGAGGATCATCATTGTCTTCATTGATTTGCTCGTTGTTCTGTGCATTCGAATTATCATGTTTTGATATAGTTTCATCATTTTCACTATCGCTGGATGATTCCTCGCGCGCTTTATTGAACAATTCGTTTAATTGACCTGTTGAGGAACCATCACTGACTCTCCAGAATCGGTTCATTTCTTCAACAATTTGATTTGAAACACCAATAAGTGATGGTGAATTCATTTGTTCTTCACCGGATGGTATTGGTACTTCACCAGGTAGTATTGGTAATGATGTTGGTGTTATTTCTTTATGATTCGAATCTTCATCAGAAGCCTTTTCATGATTCGGCAGTGATGATTCCTCAATTGCAGGCATTTGATGTACATCGACGAATCCAGGTACTTTTAAATTGCAAAATTATAATGATGAGTCTATATGATACGGGTAGAAGTATCTAAAAAAGAGTTGAGCCCTACCCCGAGTTAATTGCCTAAGGAATCCGTGCGGTGTTGGCATTCCTTTTTTACTCGGACCCGACTTTGTTGATTCCGGTGCTTTACTTTGCGGCTTCCTTGATATAGTCGCCAAAAGCTGACTGGGTGTATCCGCATTTGAGCGTTGTGGCGTCCTTGTTATTGTTGTTCTTTTATTTAAAGGCGTAGAGGGAGTTCCTTGCGTAAAAGTAGTTGCAGCAGAAGACCGAAATATTTTTTGACTATGCTCTTCTACAGTTGGTTCAGGAAGTTTATTTATAACCACTGAGACATTTTCCGGTTCTTCATTTATTATTACATTTGTTGTCTCTTGAGGAGCAGGAAATGGAGGACTCGGTCGGAAACTGGTGCTTGAGAGTGCGCGTTCAACTTGTTCCGCAGTCGGGTTTACTGTCTTACGTTTTTTGCCGCTGTTGGGTACGGGACGTTTGAATCCAACTGACAGCCTGCGTTGAAGACGCGTTCTTGGTGTTTTAGGGTTGTCTGAGTCTGCCATTCTCGCCGCTGGAATGGTTTATTTAGTTCAATTGGAATCTTATTGGTTAAGGAAAATCAGCTAAAGATATCGGGCATTCGATTTTTTGAATCCATTCTCTAACGATAATGACGCGTCAATTGTTTGCAGAACTCAGAATTTTGAAAAAATATTTGTTTAATGGCATTTCTATATGCCCCTCTACTGAATTATTTGCAACACAACGTCGTAATACATTTAGCAAGCGTAGGAGGACAATTTCCTGTCGCTTCCACAATTCATGGACTTCACAAAAGGTTTTCTTGAATTTTGAAAATTCTCGAGTTATAATATTTAAACGTTGGATTAGTTCAAATAAAGCGCTTACAGGTCAAGAACCTAAAGCAGCATCAGCAGCTACTACAGCTAATGTCACTTCGACCTTTCCACCTCTTGAAAAACCAAAAGAGAATGACACAAAGACGTTTGCCAATCAAGAAGAACTATTACAAGTTTCTTCTACTGTAAATTATAAACCTTCCCCAGAACTCACATTCTCACATATAATCAAAAGTTACAAAGAGCTAGCAAAGGCAAAACTTGCTGCCCTTGTGATATTGACAACAATGTGTGGTTACGCGTTATCACCTGGGTCAACTAGTCTAACATGTCTATTAGGCACAAGTGTGGGAACAGGATTGTGTGTAGCTTCTGCGAACGCGATTAATCAATGGATTGAATTTCCGTATGACGCACAAATGTTGCGTACACGAAATCGCGTTCTAGTACGTAGGGCATTAGCACCATTTCACGCGTTCTCATTTGGCACAATTTCCGGGATATCGGGTTTGATCGTGTTATCAACGATGGCGAATCCATTAACAGCTTTGATGGGCGTCACCAATATTTTACTCTACACTTGTATATATACTCCGATGAAAAGAGCCTCGATATTCAATACATGGATTGGTTCGATTGTTGGCGCGATCCCACCGATGATGGGATGGGTTGCTAGCACTAATAGCCTTGATCCCGGGTGTTGGTTACTCGGCGGAATACTATATGCATGGCAATTCCCGCATTTCAACTCGCTGGCGTGGAATATACGCGCCGATTATTCGAAAGCTGGGTTTCGAATGATGGCGGTCACAAACCCCGCGTTGAACTCACGAGTATCCTTACGGTATAGTTTATTGTTGTTCCCGTTGAGTTATATGATACCATATATGGGAATGACAAGCTGGTGGTTCGCGTTCGATTCGACGTTGGTGAATTCTGTTTTGCTTTGGGGCTCTTACAAGTTTTGGCGAAATTCGAATGAGAAAACTGCGCGAGATTGTTTCTTTGCGAGTTTGATTCATTTGCCCGTCATTTTTGCACTTATGATGTTGCATAAAAAGTATCGGAGTGTGAATGATAATGATGATTTGGAATATACCTAAATAATACATGTATTAAAGATAATGTACGGATTAAAAATGATGATCTAGCGCTAGTATTACGCAACCACCTGTAAAATATAAATTATCAAAATTTGCTGTTTTATTTTGTGCAAAATGCCTGCTGTATCAAGTTTAAAACAAGCCGAAGAATTTTTAGAAATCGCTCCAGATAAAGCCGAAGAAATATATAAAGGCATTCTAGCAAAGAATCCCGGTAAGTCCGATTAATTGTTGACTTCTGCAAGTTATTTTGTCACTTTGCAGAATTATTAACGTGTGTTTTTTCTTAAGAGAACGATGCAGTGGTTTTGGAACAGGAGCAAGCGCTGGTCAAATTAGGAGAGCTTTATCGAGACCATAGGTTTTGTAAAGTCTTTATTTTCTAAATGCGTGACTAAAAAAATTTGACACAAAAATTAACCGAATGCTTTTGGCTTCCAGGAAGCCAAATGAGTTATCTGAATTGATACGTTCTTCGCGTTCATTCATGGCTTCTATTGCAAGAGCCAAAACTGCTAAAATTGGTATTTCCTACCTGAAGATTTTCTTTTATGATTAAATAATGAATAATAGCTATTTATTTATATGAATTTGATGAACTATTAAACAGTTAAAAACTTGATTGATCTGTTCTCGGAAATACCGGAAGGGCTATCTCTCCAGATAGAAGTATGTAAAGAAACAATTCAATGGAGCGTTGAACAAAAGCGCATTTTTTTAAAGCAATCATTGGAGACGCGTTTAGTAGCCTTGTATGTATTTTATGTATCTTCAATACTGTATCCATTTCATTTACGAGGTTTTTTTTCAAATTTACAGGTATCTCGAAAACAAAATGTATCACGATGCGCTCACATTAATCAATTCTTTATTGAAAGAGTTGAAACGTCTCGATGATAAAATGGTGTTGGTGGAGGTACAGCTGCTGGAGAGTCGAGTATGCCACGCTTTAAGAAACCTGCCAAAGTCCAGGGTAGGAAGGATTTTACTAAACTTGAATTTTTTCAAGTAATTAAATAACAACCAAGTTTTTCTCTTCACATTTAAGGCAGCATTGACATCGGCCAGAACATCTGCAAATGCTATTTACTGTCCGCCACTTCTTCAAGCTGCACTTGATATGCAATCTGGAGTTTTGCATGCTGAGGATAAGGACTACAAGACAGCGTAAGTGAAATAGGGAATAACTTCCATAAAATATACTAATTTTTTTGTGCTTATAGATATTCATATTTCTATGAAACGCTTGAGGGTTATTCATCACAAGATGATTCACGTGCAATATTGGCCTTAAAGTATATGCTTCTTTGTAAGATCATGTTGAATCTGGTAATTGTATTTTTTTTTTCGCTTGAATAATTCATCATTTAGCTTCTTTATTGATTAAATTTACATTTGCTTTGATCCTCATTAAAGTCAGAAGATGTACATGCCATCATTAATGGCAAACTTGCACTCCGATATGCCGGACGTGAAGTTGAAGCCATGAAAGCTGTGGCTAATGCACATCAGAATCGCTCCTTAAATGAATTTGAAACTGCCTTGGCCACATATGGAGATGGTGAGTTGTTATTACCGTGCATAAAATTTGTAGAGATTTACGTTTTGATTTGATTTTTTAGAACTCTCGAATGACCCAATTATTCGATCTCATCTCGCGGCTTTATACGATACACTGCTCGAACAAAACTTGGTACGCATTATTGAACCGTTCTCACGCGTTGAAATCACACATGTGGCCGCGATGGTAAAACTACCAAATCCTCAAGTTGAGACTAAATTATCGCAAATGATATTGGATAAAGTTTTTCATGGAATTTTGGATCAAGGAGCAGGATGTCTGATCGTTTTTGATGAACCACCGCAAGATGTATGTATATGCATGCGTGCTAAAAATATTTGTTTCGTACGTACATACCATAAAAATTCGGGTTTATTCTTTTTATGTAGAAAACATATGAAGGTGCCTTGGAGACCCTTAAGCAAATGGGGAATGTCGTAGAATCACTATATGAAAAGGTAAAATCTACATTTTTATATAATTTCCGTTTCTACCGAGAATAAATCTTAAACAAATGACGATGACGGCGTTTATATAATCTCCGTTTCTACCGAGAATAAATCAGGACGTTAAACAAATGACGGCTTTTTACTGACGATTAAATTTCTATAAACTTTTTTCTACTAGGCTGCCAAACTCTCTTAATAATAATTTTTCGGTTGTGACGTAAAATCAGGTTATTTACGGACACAATTCTAAAAAAGGCAAAGCTCTTTCTCTTTTTGTCAATTAATTATTTCTATTTAAATGCATATTCATGTTCCACATTATAATGTGCAAAATTGGATTACTATTTACACAACCTAATAACCTAATTTGGCTCGCTAAACTCACATACTTATGCATATTTATTTATTACAAGGTTGTTTTTTTTTTGTTCCTCGTGATACATTCATTACTATCATCATATAATTTTATTGTACTATCATGTTTTCCATTACCATTAACTTCCAGTCTATCCCGTTCTTGTGTGCTGTATTAGTATGGTATGTTTACTCGAAGCTTCTTTGCTGATTACTACTCTATATTAGGTTTTAATTCATAAACCGAAAACGCAAAAATCTTTTTTGCGAATGCTATCCGAACTTGGTCTTTGACAAAAAAAAATCGGTTTAAATTTTTCATTAAAAGCATAATTGCACAAAAATTTAATAAATATACAAACAACAAAACGAATTTAAAACACATCATTTATTAACTAATATAATATATATATATATATATACTGCTACCTACCTTTTTTGCTTGCAGTATTTTGCTTCGCAGTACAAAGCTAAGCCTTCTAAACCGACCGCCCGACTTTCCTCATTTTGCAACCTACCTCCTATAAATTCCGCCAATTAATCATATCTCTAATCCGCCTTGAACCAACCAAACAAACTCCTTTTCACCTCCATAATAAAAAATAAATTCAGCCATATCATACTCATGTTAGTCACAGAATGAGGATTAAACAACCATATTTTCTAATATCACTATATTGTGCGGGAATATGGCGAGTCAATGCGGCAAGTAATACCTTACCTGAGGTCGATTTTGGGCCCGTAGCTCAAGTGGGTATTGCAGGACAATATAATGGACTTTCGCTGGCGAGCCAGCTGATAAAACCACAGACCATCGACGTAAACAGTGCATCACTTTTTACTCTCACTTCCATACGCAATGAAAGTGGTACCTTCCAACTCGTCGGGTCTACCTCCAAAGGCGGCACTATAACTGCATTATGTAAATTACCTAGGAATAGTAATAGCAACCAGTATGATATATATGTTGGTGGAAATTTCACGAATATTGGGTCAACGTCAGTCAATAATATTGCTCGATATGATTCAGAACAACAAAGTTATTCGTCTTTATTAGACGGATTGGACGGGCCTGTTTCTTCATTATATTGTGACTCAAATACTGGTAGTGTGTATGTTGGAGGCTTTTTTTCGGCACCTGTGAATGCGGCCAGTCATAACATTGATATCAAGTCGTTTGGTGGGTCAATAGCCGTATGGAAGGATAATACATGGCAAGCGTTACCTTTCAAGGGATTCAATGGTCCGGTGTTGACGATTGCATATAATCGTGATAATAATACATTTTATTTTGGTGGCGCATTTGATGCCACCGCCAATGGTGAATATGGAGCGACATCCAGTTCGCAGCCGATAAATTTACAGAATGCCGTGGTAAGTGAAATTTTCCCTTTTTTTGAATTCCTTGAATTTTTTTAATGTAAGGTTGTTATTCATATTATTTTTGGGCACCGATATAAGTGTTGCGCCAAAAATTATGGATTGTGTGTTGAGAAAATTGATGAGAGAATTGGGAGAAAAAAATTTTTTTTGAGGGAATTGATTATTTTATTGTATCCGGGATGCTCTAAATTCATTATACTAATTTCATTTGATATTTTTAAAATTAATTTCAAATAAAATTCAGACTAAGTATATTTATTAATTTATTCTTCTAAATTAACAGATATCTGGTGGAAATAACGCACCTAAACAAGGGTTTGGTGATCCAAAAGTGTTAATATGTAGTAGTGATGCAGATCAAGCAAATAATACATGGTTACTTAATGATAATATTCCTGGATTTTGGCGTGCTGAATTCAACCAATTAACAATTACACCAACATCAATCGGAATAAAGAATACAGGATTTGAAGGGCGAGGCACGAAAAAATTTAGGTTTATAAATTATATTTTAATCTCTCTCTCTATTTCATCATTTCAAAATTTTGTTTAAAATAAAATAATATTTTTTTACCTTAGACTTTTATCAATACCGGATAATGGAGTTTTGAATCTTTCATATGTTGATCCGTCTGACAAAACCATAAAATATTGCTCGGATCCGTGTTCATTGACACAAGATTCGAATCAATATCAAGTTTTTAATATTGTGGGTCCACATCCACTAAATGGGATACAAATTGATATTATTGAGTGGTATGGTAGTGGCGGTGGGCTTCATGGAATTCAATTATATCAGAGTGGTATGTTTCAAATTATATCTGTCATAGTATTATGTTCGACATTACTATTCGGTGATGATAAATAATAATTTTTAATTATTTTATTTTTAGAGGTGGTTGTAAAAGCGGGAGGTGATTCCGGTTTTCCTAAATGTGCCAATACTCCATTTACACCCGAGGTGAAGTCCGTAGGATCATGGAATTCCAAAGTATTATCTGGAGTATGGGAAAATGTTCTACAAACATCAATTCCAGCATCGCAACTCTCGAATTCTAACACATCAGTCACCCTTAAACCCTACGTTCCGCAAACAGGCTACTACGATGTGACGTTGACCTCACCAAGTTGTCTCCCAGTCGGATGTGACAAAACTATTCCAATTAACGTGACACTTTATTTTGCATCTGGACAATCAACTTCAAAAATAATACCACAGAATCAAACTCAAGCTCAGACTGATTTAATTTACTCGGGAACGGTTCTCGCGACAACTTCATCTTTTGCGCCTTCTGTTGTCATCTCAGTTCCGAATTCGGTGACTCCACCTTCAGGTGGTGTGGCTGTTATCTCGGTGGATTTAGTTAAATTTGTGATAAGGAATAGTAGTACTCCGTTAAGTGGATTATTTCAGTATAATCCGGCGACTAATCAAAATTCCGCGGCTAGTTGGGGTGGCTTTAATAGTATGTACATTATTAATAATAATATTTGAATGTTTAATTCTTAATTTTTTGTCTTATTACTCATGTTCAAATGATCATAAAATGTTTAGATGTTTTATCTCCAAATGCAAATGTCACTACAATTGCCGTATATCAAAAATCAATGATTGTGATTGGTGGTAGTTTCACGACCACATCATACTCAAATATTGTATTCTATGATGGTTTTAATTTTAAACCTCTTGTAAATAACGGGCTTGGTGGTCCAGTGAATACAATCACAATAATCAATGATGATTTATTAATTGGAGGCGCATTTAATGGAACAGCAACTCAAAGTACAGTGCAAGATCTAAATAACATGGCACGATATGAAATTCAAAATCAAAGATGGTCACCAATTGGAGCAGGTGTTAATGGACAAGTCCAAGTGATATCAAGAGCCAATGCTTCAAGCTCAGAAGTTTATGTATCTGGTCGATTCGATGCTGTACTGAGTCCAGGTGTTCCTAATGGAGGAAATCTCACGTATGGTCTTGTTCGCTGGGATAACACGTTGAAAACATGGTCTTCTGCTGGATATGTGGAGGGAACAATTAATTCTATATTACCTGGTGGCACGAATTCTACTATTTTCTTTGGTGGTAATATATTATCAGCACAATCATTGTCAGCATTCGGTGGTGGATTACTCACTGCTAATTCGCGTGAACTTTCCGCTTTACCTATTTATCCCCAAAGAAACACTAATGGCACTATACCCCAGATGACTTTTTCCACTGGCGTGTTTTGGAATACTACAAATACCGATAATAAATATTCGGTGATTGTTGGCGGTGAATTCGAAATGCCTGGAGATATTCAGAATGTTGCAATCGAAGAAAATGGCGTATGGACGGGTCTTGGATCTAATTTAAAGATATCAGGAAAAGTTAATGATTTATATACATATAATGATATTCTGTATATCGGTGGTGAGTTCGAGGGTAATACTACTGATAATAAGAGTCTGAATGGATTAGCATTATATGATTTGAAAAAAAAACAACTCGTAGAGATCCACCCGCCACAATTGAATGGTAAATAATTTATTTTTTATTTCTTTATTTAAATAATACAAATGATATTCAACTTTTACGTTTTCCTATAGGAAATGAAAATGGAAATGAAGTCAGTGTTAGAGTGATTCGTGCACATACAAAATCAAAGACGATTATAGTCGCTGGAACTTTTGATAAGGCTGGATCGCTGATTTGCAAAGCTATTTGCATGTGGGATCTTCAACTTTCACAATGGAACAACATTGTTGGTGCTGACTTTGGCTTAACTGGAAAAGTTTACTGGTTAGATTTAGATGAGGTGTTTATTTTATATAGTACATTCCTAAGTTATTATCATTAGACTTGTTTGCTTGAGAGTGGTTCCTTTTTATTAAAATCATTCTTTATTTTAGAAACTTGGAATTCTCATCGTTGGTGGTGATTTGAATTTCAACGCAACTCCTAGTTACCTTCTCGAATATGATTACGGGACTAAAGTCTGGCGTGCACTCGGCACAAATAATTCTGGACCGAATAATCTTCCAGGTCCAGTTTACGCAATCACAATTCAAGCACGGGACAGCATTTTCATCTCTGGCATCTCCGCCTCCGACAACGCAACGTATTTGCGGAAATGGGATGGCAAGAAATTTATCGAGATCGGCAATAATAAACTCAAATCTAATTCTATTGTAAAACAACTTCAAATTGTTCCGATGAAAACAAAACATGACGATAATGAAATCCTTAAGGCTTCTCGTATGCTTCTCGTATCTGGATCACTTTCGTTAGAAGATTATGGAAATGTTAGTACTGCGCTGTACGATGGTGCCGAGTTTTATCCATATCTTTATACGTCAAAAACTGGTGGATTACCGGGAATTGTTCTTTCGATATTTTTCTCGAGTTTCTTGGATTTCAGTAATCGAAGTATGTTTCGGTTGTTTCTTTTGTAAATTTTATTAATTGATGATTCCTTATTTGTTGGTTTACTGATAATTACTGAATTTATTTTTCATTATATTAGCATTACTCGCTATACCTCTCGTAATCTTAACATCAATCTCAATTGCATTAGGATTAACGTTCTTAATTGTCGCGATTGGGATGATAATCGCAAAAATAAAACGCAGAAAGAGTTCAAATATTACACCAAATCGCCACTCGGTACTCTCAGAAAAACCATCAAGATTCAACGAAGCTCTCGTCGCTCCAGATCTATACACCGACCCACAAAATTCCGACCTACAAAATTCCGACCTCAAGTCAAGTTTAGGCACCGGTGAAAAGTCGGAATTAGCCGCTGCCGGTGTATTCTCCGCTGTTGGTGGTCATAAATGGGCATCAGAACCTGAAAATACTCAAGGAATTCCTCCGGCGTCTAATGCTTCTGAAGAAGAAAGAGATTTCGAGACTAGTGATACGATGCTTGCTGATGCTGCTGGCGGGTCACCTGGTGGTGGCGCATTTCATGAAATATTTCCTAATGGTGGCGGAAGGGCACAAATTTATTATGCGAAATATCATTTCGATCCGAGAGAGTCCGCAGAGTTGGGTTTCGAGGTGGGAGATAAAATAAATGTAATAGATAAAAATGATCCAATATGGTGGATGGGTTTATTGGATGATGGTAAGTTAATATAAGAATGATTTGTTTTCACGATTCTCCTTTTTTTTTGTACTTGGCATTAATCGTTTTTATTATTTGTATAATAAAGGATCGGGAAGGTTCAGACAGGGTGTATTTCCAAGTAATTATGTGACACTTGATCCGCCACCATATGACCACGACGAAAGATCTTATTCTGAAGTGACAGACAATCAACCACCTTCACAAGATTCGTGAAATAACCACACACAATTTGGACACTTTCTTAATAAAAAAAACTTATCACACACCCAACCCCATCCTTTCACACTACATCATCACATTACACTACTCCACACCATTCTACTTTAATCTAAGCATCAATAATTCTAATCTAGATTATTTCTCTCCCAAATAGATATTTGTATTTATAAATTTTTCCTAGAAAAAGTCAGTAGAATGTTATTACGCTTTTTTATATATACATATATAAAAAATAAAGGATGTTGGTGATCATATGGGTCGTTTGTGAGTATTGGAGGGAGAATTTACTGTGTTATTTTATAATAATTATTTTTCGTAAGTGAAAATATTAGTTTTCGCTGTTTATAACTATATTGATAATAGTTATAATGAAAATTATTCATTAATGCAAGTAAGTAATTATTATTTCTTTTTTTTTGAATTTTGTTTAATAATAGATTTTTGATTTTTTCTTTGTATATACAGTAGCTTACAAAAATAATGCATTTTAAAATTTACTATTAAAACATAGTAAAATTGAAAATTTTATTTATATAATTTTTATGTTTTATAATTCAAATATATTTATATATAATTCAAAACTAAATTACTAAAGATAAATAATGTATTCATATTTGAACAGCTAGATTAAGTTCAAATATAAAGATAAATATAATTATACTTTAATTAATAATTTATAAAGAATTAATATTTTGATAAATTAAATCAAATTGAATTTATAATTATGTTTTAGTTAAATTTGAATTTGATTCTTGATATATATATAATAATTAAAAACAATACAATACCAAAAAAATTATTAATAAAATATAATAAAAGTATAGAATTTTTTTATTTAATTTTATTAATAAAAGTTTTTTTATTTTTATTAAATCATATATTTTAACATATATTTTTTCAGATTTAATTTTATATAACATTCTCTAATCATATTATCACTGATCTGTGATCTTTACTGATGAAGATATTCACAAGATAGGTGATAGTAACTGTGTTCACACAAAAGTATAAAATATAATTTTTTCTAAATACGAGTTTCAATATCAAGTAACAAAAATTGTATTTATAATTTTCATAGGTGAAGCTTTTTAACAAATATTAATTAATAATAATTCAACACATAATAAATTATTATAACAAGAAAGACAAGAGAAATCAATAAGAACAAAATAAGTAGAATAATCAACAGTTTGATCTATTTTTTATTATTGTCAAGATTAAAGATAAATTATAAGATATCTAATTTTCTATGTTTAGATTACATTTATTTAAATACATATTAAAGTAATACAGATCTACAAGATTTGTAACGATGTAAAGAACCAATAAAATAATAAAGTTATAACATGTATAATACCAAAAAATGATAAATATGATACAAATTAATCTAAGTATTACAAATGAAATTAGTGAAATATTGATGTTATATTAAATAAATTAGATAAATTAATAATCAAAAATAAATTAATAATTAAAATTAAATAAATTAATAATTAAAATTAAATAAATTAATAATTAGAAATCAAGAACTAATAAAATAATTATAACTAATAATTAATATAAATTGCATAATAAATACATAAAGTAATTGATAATTTATAATATCACTAGATGTAAATAAAAAATAATTAAAAATAAATAAATAAATAAATAGATAAATAAATATTTATAAATAAAAATTAATTAAATATCACTCAAAATCTGATAATATCTTATATTAAATAATCAAGAAAAATAGTGAATGATGACAATATATAAAGTCAATAATTTTTTTATATAATAAATTATTGATTTTATATGTAGTTAGAAAATGTTATAAAATTAAATTTGAAAAATTTGGAAAAAATATAACTAACAAAATTGAAAATTATGCATATAATTTTATTAATAAAATAAAATAAAATTTTTGTTTATATAAAAGTTTTTAATTTTATTAATATAGTTAAATTACATCTATTTATAGTTACACTTTTTTATTTTGCTTTTCTATTTACATATAAATATAGTAAAAAAATTTTTTTATAGTCATATTCTCTTTATAGTTACCAAATTTTATTTTTCTAAAGATAGTAACTATAAAGAAGTTTGACTATAAATATTTTTTATTTTTATATTAAAACAAAAATTAGAAATTATATTTTAATATATTTTTAACAAAGTTTATATTTTAATTTTTACAATAATTTTGCAATTAGAATAACTTTGTTAAATTATCTAAAAAATATATATATTAAAATATAATAAAAATTAAAAATAATGCAATACAAAAAATAATTATTAATAAAGGATAAATATTTTGTTACATTCTATTATAGTTTATTTTGTTATAGATCATGTAATTTTATAAAATCTTGAATTATATATTAATACAATTTATTAAACTAATAAAGTAATTTTTTTTATTTAAAAATATGTAACAGATTTGGATTCTTAATAATATTGCTAGCTTTTTTGAAAAATAATAATCTTTTATTTTTAGATTATTATATTATTTCATTTACTTGAACTAATTTAGCTTTTAACAGATTTAGTTAAATTAATTCTGGATTAAATAAATTTTATATAATTTATTTAATTCATTTTGTTGCTATTATTAGTGAAAAGATAGATTATATTATATTCAAAGTAAAAGAAGCTAAATTACAAAGAACATACAACAAATCTATTAATCCAATAAAATAGCTTCCTGAATGTTGATTATTAGCAATTTGTACTAAATTTGAGTTTGTAAATTAGTATTATATTGACTAGTATGTGAGTTTGAGTATGTTATTTGTATTAAAATAAGCTTATTCTCATTATTATAAGATAATTTTATCATGAAAGAATTATGCAATTAATTTTTAAAATTCTCAAAATCACTATAACTATCAAAATATTATTTAAATTTAATGATTTTTACAAGTGAATATAATGTCACTTTTTTGTTTTAAAGAAATAGGTAAAAATACTCTTTATAAATAATATAAATAACAAGATCAATAATATAACTAATAGTAAGATAAATAATATAATCAATAATGTGACTAATAATAAGATAAATAATACAATTAAAAATATAATTGATAATAAGATAAATAATATAATAAATAATACAATTAATTATATAACTAATAGTAAAATTAATAGTATAATTAATAATACAGTTAATAATATGACTAATAATGAGATCAATAATATGACAGATTTTAAAGATAATAATACTAAATTTGAGATTAATAATGTAATTAATACTGAGAGAGAAAATATAAATAACAGTAAATAATAATAAGTACAGAAATATATTTTTATAAATTTTTTTTAATTTTTATTCTATATTGCAGCAATCTTTTCAAGCAAGATATCATATAATTTTTCTTGTTAAATATTGATTACCCATTTCAAAAATGAAATGATATTTTTTTCAAAATTTATGATTAATATTTTAAATTTATTATTATTAAGAAAAGAATCAAACAATGTGAAAATAATATAATAAAGCATCAATTTTTGGGATATGAGTTTAAAGAAAAATATAATTCTAAAAAAAGTATCAATATCAATTTTCATTATAATAATTAATGATTCAAATATCAGTAATATAAATGACATATTAATTTGAGTTTTTCAAGAAATGCTAGTTGTATTATAATTATAATATTTGTTAATGATTACAATTATAAAGACAAATTGTTATCAAATATCTTTTAGCTTATTTTTTGATTATTGATAATAATATTAGATCTCATTTAATAATACAAGTATTAGTATCTAATGAAATAGTTAATTTTTATTAATGAATTTTCCAGTATATCAAAAAAACTATAGAAATTAAACTGTTAGTTTTTGTTATAGATATTAATTTAGTAATAAATAGTATACTTAAATAAGTATATAAAATTATCAAGTCATTATATTATATTTATAATATTAATCAAAATCTTACAAAAATCTAAAAGCAAAATTAAGTAATATATATAATGAATTTATTATAAAATTCTTTAAATATTGTAATACTTTAAATAAAGAATTATTTCAAATAAGATAATAAAGCTTATTAGAAAGATTTTTATTAGTTAAGATTTATCTAAATTGAGTTCTTTATTCTAGTCATTATGCATAAACTTGTAATTTTATTTTTAGAATTTTTACTGCTGATATTCAAATTATATTATATATCGAAAAATATAATAATTTTATTAAACAAGTATTATTGTTATGATATGAATATTTAGTTCTTATTTTTATTGGTTAATTCATATCATAAATTTAATTGGATGATATTTTATTATATTTTATTGGTTAATTTTATATTTATA